TCTTCTTCTTCTTCTTCTTCTTCTTCTTCTTCTTCTTCTTCTTCTTCATATGTTGTCATTTCCTTCTGGAAGGTTCACACCCGCGGACGGCGGATCTCTCGGCTCTCCATGCTCTCCTCTGCACAGTCTCTCGGTTACACTCATGAAGGCCAATAGCATCCTTAATAAATGAGAATCCCACCGACCTTGCCTCCCAAAAAGAACCACCGACTGCAAGTTCCCCGACTAAACTGCGACCGCGATCCTCCATCCATCCACCCATCCCCAGTCATCCATCCTCCGGCCCCGCCCCCTCACCTTCCGTGGCGTGATGGGCCGCCGCTGCGGCGTCGCGGCCTGGTCATAGACCTTCCGAGCTGCGGAGCAGCGCGGTGGAGCGGAGCAAATCCGAGCCACTGGCTCAACAGAAACGAGGAATTCCACTCCAACCCTATTTATGGCCTCCAACCCTACTAGCGATGGCCTCCACTCCATGTCGGGGGTTCGAATCCAATTCATGTTGGACACAAGTGGCCGATGATCCACTCACTTGTTCGACTCAGATGGACCAACCAGGCAGCCCCTCCCCGCCCGCTTCGTCCCGCCTGCAGGGTCGTTGGAGCCCGGCCATAGCTCAGGGAGCGTGGTGTGTCCATTTCAGAGGCCATCTGCCAGGGACATGGAACTCGCTCGGAAATGCCCCACCCATGGGGGCCGAGGGAGTCTTCGAAAAAAGGCTTTCTCTAGAATAATGTTGACCAAAAATGCTAAAATAGACCATAGATGTTTTTTTGTTGTTCTATAAAAGAAAATTGTCAAAAAAGGCTTAAAGGCTGACTCCGTCTTCGGAATGGCTTTCGAGTCTCAAAACGTAAAAGGTTTTGGGGGTCAAAGCCTGGTGAAGGAGTGTGACTCGTAGCTCCTTGGGTGTTTTCAAATCCATCAATTGCTTTACATATAGCTTGGGATGATGATGATGATTAGGTTGGCCGACATCTCCAAACCAAGTAAATGAATGAATAGGAATGGGAAGGCCGACATCTGCACGAGCGCACGAAGGCCTCAGTATGACGATGCACTAGTGGTTGCAAAGCAAGACATCACCCAGTTTCAGGGCAGATTCCAAAAAAACAGTCAGGACATGTCTGTCCGTTGTTGCCCAATTGACCATCTTTGCGCCATGAAAAAGCGTGCGAGACTCGAATCCAGACCCGAAGGACAAGCTAGCAGCTAGCAAAATGGAAAGGATTTGGATTCAAGATCGTGAAAGTGGAGGCTCCAAGGATTGTCTGGGCACGACACATATAAGCTTCCACGACCATGGTGGTTTGGTAGAGGCTATTAAATCAATGGTGGTTGGAATCCTAGGGCATAGATTCAGCACACCAAAGGGAAAAGTGAAGGGGGAAGACCTCTTCGGCAGGTGCTCCTTAGCGCATCGTCCTGCTGTCAAAACCGAAGCTACCACTTGAACGTCAATAGAATGTTCTACCGTTCTGGGCCCAACTGATTTCCACTGAAAACAGCAGTTTCTGGCCAGCAAAAGGAATCCAAGACGAATGCACCGGTTCTCAGATCCAGCTCCATGGCGTTTGGGTCCACTCTTCGCCCCTGGGAGCCCCCCCAAGGTTTCGCCCCACGTGCCTGCAAAGCGGCCGCCACGCCTTCGGAGGAACTCAAATGCCGCAAGTCCTCCCCGCCACGCGGCGCGCGGCCGCGCGGCTCCGCGCGGCCGGTCGAAGCCGACGGAGCACCCCCACCGAAGCATCCAGTGCATTGGCCTCCTACCTAGTAGCAAAAGGAAGTGATGGCCTTCCCCTTTTTGCGATGGCCTCCAACCTTGTAGCGATGGTTTCCAACCTACTAGCGATGGGAGCGGCATGAGCTTGGTGGACGGATGAACTTGTGCTGCTGTTGTCGATGCCGATCACAGGTCCAAAAGCTCAGTCGCAAGCTTGGTCCTGAAAATCCATGCAACAATGCAATCCTCTTTAAAATCCACCAGAGATATGAAATCATCTGAAAGTCTATTGGAGTCTTTTCAGGATGTCCCACACGTCCGATCCTTTGAGTGCAACTCACATGGTGGAAACGAAACCGGATGGACCTTGCTTTCGCCATGCCATGCACATGTCCGGTCGATGGTGGGGAGAAAACACGTAGGACCAGTTCTGTCCGCTTCTTTTCAATCTGGCCATTCCGTGGTGGACCAGTTCCTCCGTTTTTCCTCGGTTCCTCGGCCCCCCCCCCAAGCCCGCCGACGGCACGGCGGCGTCGCTGGACGCCCCCGTTCACCCGTGGCGTCCACACGAGAAAAAGGGTCCAACCACTCCCAACAACTCCCAGCGGACTCGCGGAACTCTTCTGCAACTCCGCCTTGTGGCAGCTCTCGCGCACGAGGCCACATCGGAAGCTACTGGTGCGATCCGCCGTGATGCCCCTGAGCGTTGGGGTGGTTGATGCCACCGAGAGGAACGATGGAGGGTGGCAGCTGGCATGCCCAGCTGGTGAGCTCGAGCTGAAGGACATCGAGGCATTCAAGAGTGTGGTCAAGTGCAATTCAGAATTCTCACAGCGATAGCACCGACACGTAGTCAAATCGTTGACCATGAGGGTGCCCTACCAATCCAGAAAGGACCAGGGTGTGGCTGGGACCTGAGTACAATGTACAGTGGAGGGGCCATCTCTTCCCTACGACCGTCGTAGTACGCTCAGTTCTCAATGTCTTCCCAGCAGCTCACGAGCATTTGGAGGATCACAAATCTCCTGAGGCACAACTCTCCAGGCACCGGACGCACGGAAAGTTTTGGGGCGCAAGAGGAAAACACGGCAACACTGGTTTTGAGTCCAAGCTCCTCCTAGTCCCTAGAGGCCCTGGAGGGCTCCAACAGATCTTTGTTTTGGGTTTTGATGTGCAAAAATTCCATAGCCAAAAAGGGCAAGGGTCCATGGCCGCACGAAACGATTTTTCTTGGGGGAGGAATTAAAAGCATCGATCCAAAAGGTGAATCAATGATTTGTTTAGTTTATATGGGAAATCGCGCCTCTCCTCCCTCTCTCCTTCTCTCTCGCCATCTCTCTTTTTGAGCACCTCTATACAGCATGACAACAACTATATACTGCTAACTGTGGCAACGTCTTGCTTTTCAGACACTCAACATCGCCAGGTTCCCCCCACCGGCCTGTAAAACGACACCGAAAAGAAGCGAGTCCGGAAGTTTGAGACTGGGATTTGCTGATGGTGGAGGATTGTTTGTAACCCGACAACCGAGAAACCCCCAATCTGTCACTCGAAAAACACACGAAATCGATCCACAGTCGAACCCCACGTTGTTCCACAAATCAAGGTCACCTGAAGAACAGCGGACGCCAAACTGATGCTGGAATGCTGGAAAGAAGATCAAGCACCGTTGTATCCCAACTGGTGATGGGGATTGATGTGCCTTCTGCTTTGGCCGTTCGACATGGACTCCACCCCAAGGAGTCACGGCCGCCCCCCAGTGTCGGTGTCCCGGACGGCTCGCTGTGCCGCCAAAGTCGCCGCCTCACCGTGCGATGCTTATAGCTTTATGGTTACTAGTAACAGTAGCGATCAAAGACATACTAAAAGCTTCTTGTTACTACAGGTGAAACGATTCCCAGTATAACGAGTCCCAGTGAACCCCCCACAAGCATGAATATATCGGGTGTTTGGAGGTGATTGGAACAGGTGAAGCCAAACACCATGGACCTAAATCGCAGGTCGGGAGGCGACCAACTACCGTATACAGGTGACACCAATGGGCAAGGCATGGCAAGGCATTGGAAGAGATGTTTTCTTTTAAGAGAACCCCCCACACAGATCCACTTGGCAAAGGCCAAACTGGACCACCATGCCAGTGGAGGTTTCCATCGGCTTTGGCTTTGACCTTCTTGGGGCATGAGGAAGCTCCATCCCTGCAGAAGCCCGGCCAAAAGGGCTCAAACGACACGTGAACGTCCAAACCTCGACGCATCGTCCAAACCGCCCGATCAGGCGACGTCCTCCCCCAAAATCCAATCCGGCCTCCGCCGTGCCCGGCGTTCTCGCGTGCCGCGGCGCCATTGGGGAGAAACGCCCGTGCCCGGAGTTTATCTCTGCAACGGTGAGACATTCACGAAGTAGCGAACGAGCTGCGAACGGGTTCACGTTTTTTTGGGGTGTATGCAATGATCCAGAATTATATTTGAAATGGGTTTGTTGGATGGGAGCGGCGTCCGACACCCTATCTTTGTCCTTCGATGGATCTGGATGCATCCATTTCGATGGAAGGTCTTTTGTAAGACTTTGAGGAACTTATATAAGAGCGATGGCCTCCATCCTAATAGCAATGGCCTCCACCCTAATAGCATTGGCGATGTCCTCCAACCTAATAGCGATAGCCTCCAACCTACTTTGTGGTTTCTTCGTCTTGTCTTGTCTTGTTTGAGTGTCTGCAAAATGCTGCATACTGTGCTGCATACCCGATCTCAATAAAGCTGTTTTGTATTTGTATCTATGACTCATGTTGAAAGAACCTACCAGCGCACAAGGAACATACAGAACATGGAAAGGTGAATGTGTTGCAGTGATGAATACCCATGTGTTTTTCAACGCTTGTCAATTGAGCAGCAAAGGCTGTCTCGGATCTGGGTTTGATTATTAAACACACACACAAGTACAAATGGATCTCAAAGCAATTGACACCAGAAAATAGTGATGCCACCAGAGCATGTGACACTGTGGCCAACAAGTCAATTTTGGGAGGGCACAATCAAGGGCATATTTACACCTACCGTGCTACCCCAAATGAAAGAAAACACATGATAATGATAATTAATAATCTCTTAAATCTTGGTCTCTCACTCAACAGAAGCTGCGCGTGCGCCAAGTGATAGACAACGTGGGTGTCCATATTGTTTGAATTTGCATGCGTTTGGTTGCATCTGTTGGCGCACTGCGAAGTCCAAGGTCTTATACCCTTTTTGTTTTCAATGCGAAAATAAAATTCAAGAAAACCACCTCAAAAAATGTGTGCCTTCGTGAGCACTGTTTGCTTTGAGCAACGTGAAATCTTCGCACAAACACATGTGTATTTAAAAATATACACACATATATCATTGACCGTTTCTCTTTGACACAGTTTCCTTCTTCGCTCATGACGCAGAACAGCAGAACACAGGTCAGATCCCCAGGTCGGGGCGTTAGTTCGGAAGTCTTCAGAAAAAGAATCTTAAACGGATGCGGTTTGTGGCAAGGTTGGTTCGCATCAAAGGCATGTCATTGCAAAGTTGCAAGGTTGACATTGTCAAGGGTCCACATGGTAAACAAATGCATTAGAGACCTTTGGCCGCCTAAGGTCATTGCGAACGCAAGAGAATGATGCCAAAAAATGCCGAGGTCAGCGCGGACGACAAGAATTGCAATTTCAAGAACAGGGGGGAAGTCTCGGGTCGACTGTACCTCATTGTTCATTTTCAGCTCCGCAAGTCGCACGCAGCACAACAAGCAATCGCACCGGCATAGACCCCAAAAGCGAGTGTAAAAAGTTAAAGGACACGCCACGGACGGCTGTCACCGCAGCAGCACGCAACATCAGAATCCCTCGCACGACATGCGTTCATCCCTGACGACATGATGTCATTTTTTCCCATGCCTTTTTTTCCGGCTGCAGCTCTCCCACGGCCATCCTTGAAAGGAACCCTGAAGTGACATGATGTCATCCCCTGGCACGACATCATGTCACGACAAGCATGGCACGCTTTCAACCCTGCCATGACATGATGTCGCGCATGCCGTGGTCTCACCTTCACATGTCGTCCCTATGTCATTTCAGGGCATGGCATGAAACAATGCCATCATTGTGTCATCACGTCATCCTTCGATGCCATCTCCACCAGTTCCAGGGCTGAAGTCCACATCCCCGTGATCCACAAGTGGAAGGACAGCGTCTTGAGGTGGTTTGGTGTAAAGACGATCCAGCGATTCAAGATGAGGACTGGGAAGTCAGTTGCAGCCAAGTCAGCACCGCAAGCTTTTTTGCACGGGTGGAGACGCCATGTGTACAGAGGTTGCACAGGTCATCTTGTGCTAGTGACGAGAGAGTTACTAGCCAGGTTGCGGTGCAAGAAAACACCAGCAAAAACCAGCAAAACAAACAACCAACCAACCCAAACAAGAACCAACCCACCCCACAACGCCGCAACCTGGTATGTAGCTCGAGCGGTCATGTAGCCCAAAAGAGTAGAGTGAGACAGGGGCAATGAATTAAGCACCGGCTCTCAGTTCAGCTGGACCATGAGGTTTGGCTTTTCTTCATTCCTTATCTTTGGCCTCTCATCATTCCTAGTTCTTCCTTGCAGGCAGCAAGGCGTCCTGAGTCAGGACGCTTGTGCACGCTGTTGCATTTGGAGAGCAAAGCAAGCTACACTTACCTGGTCGTGCATTCAAAGGTGCAAGCCTATTTCATGCAAAGCGAAGTAAGGGCTTTCCTCTGCAACATTGCACAGGCACCAGGGAAAACCACTGCCACTGCGAGATGCTCCCGATAGCTCCAAACTGTCGGTAACAAATTCGGCAGTGCAGCCTGTGATTGATAGGAGTTTTGAAGGAAGGCAGTTGCTTGCTGCTGATGTCAGCTCCTCCCCGAATGGGGAGGAGGACAATGATACCACACACAAAACTTGCATCGGTGGCTTCCGAACAGCTTGGCCAAGGGAAGGCACAGAAAGGCAAGTGGACCATTTGGCTTGAAAGGACGCACAGATGGACAGGTGGGAGCCATAGGCTTGCATTGGCTTGCTTACGGTGCATAGTGTTGAATGTCTGTACCACGCAGTGCCCCTCTACTATTGTGAAACGTGGTGAAACGTCGTTACCCTGCGTCTCAGCGACCCTAGTAAAATCTGTACACTTTGTATTCATCCAGGACCAACACTGAGGTGCCAGCCTGGGGGCTGTCTATCTAGGGTGTCTTGCTGTACAGAGGCTACGGAGGCAGCGAAAGATATCGCCAGCAGGACCGACACTGAGGTGCCAGCCTGTGACGGGCTAGCGAGTTGTTAGTGCTGGTTCCTACGTAGCTCCTCGTCAAATTCAGCGGAATTGAAGGTCTGACTGCCTCCTTGATTCAGCGGGAGGAGGTTGATCCACTCTGGCATGCGAAATTTGTCACACAAGTCGAAAGTGTCACATTCAGCGTAGGGCCCTCTCCATGTGGCTTTCTCTTCCATTTTTATGAACTGACTGAGTTGCCCACATTCGAAGAAGGCTCGGTGGGCAATATAGAGTAAAGACAGTGGGGTGTGCACCTCTTGCAACGAGGAGCACAGCAGAAAGGCTTCTTTGCCTATACGTCTTAGCTTTCGTGGGAACCATATTTGCGCCAGGTGCGCGCAGTGCGAGAAGGTAGACCCCCATATAGCAGTAATATCAGTACCAATTAAATCAACTATCCGCAGCCGCTTGCAGTTTTCACATGCAATGGGTCCTACGAAGTTGAAGTCTGCTGGCAGTTTCAATTGCTCGATTCCGGACCCACAGACGCTTCCCTCTGGTAGATATCGCGCACATGTCGAGGCATGGGCCTCTATCTGCTCGAAGGTGACCTGCGAAAGTGCAAGGCAACTCTCAAAAGCGTATGGAGAGATTTGGGCTTGCGGGGCCAGTAGGTTGATTCCATTATCAGTAGTTCCTATTTGGGACAAGGAGCAGCATTCTGCAAACGCTCTACGTCCAAATCGCTTACACCCTGGGGCTAGAACCATCATGAGCCCTGGAAGGCACCATCCTGGAGACACACGACCGTGGCGGGCATCTTGACAATTTGGAGCTGCTGGCAGCTTTGCCAGGCTGACGCTCCTATGGTTTGGATGCCTGGCTCAACTAGTACATGTCTCAGGTCTGGGACATGAGAAAAAGCGTTGGGCAAAACTCGGTCAGTGTCTTCCGCCGGAACGCAAATGGCCTTGGCTCTTTGCCTCAACTGTCCCTTATGCTCTGCTGTGACGAAGCATTGTCGAACAACTAGACTAAAGCGATTGCATTCTTGTAGAGTGCTCCAGATGGGGTCGTCAAGAATTGTTTGGGTACTCAAGCTGACAAACTCCAGCTCACACCCGAAAGCGCTAATCTTCCAATTGTTTCAAGGCACTCAAGCACAGCATTCTCAAACTCGCAAAGTCGATCAAATTCCTGCAGTTCAATTGACAGTTGGATTTCCTCGCCAGCCAAGGTGACTAGCATGAGCTGGAATGTGGTCGACTGTTCTGCTCTGGCCGGTGTGCTGGCTTGCGAGGAGTCCTCTCTAACCATCGCAGTGCGACACCCCGGAGGGCAAAATTACCTGGGTAGCTTGAGCCAGAGTACCTTGTCTGGTTCTCCTAGGTGGCAGTCTGTCCACTGTATGCACACATATTTGACTTTCCTCTAGGGACAGTGACTGAGGTGACCGCCCTAGATTATCCTGCGTTGTCTTTCACAGGCCACGTTTGGTAGCTTGGCGGCACTGTCCAGTCGTCCCCATTAGGGGGGAGATAATTGAGCCAGCAGGGGAGGTCCAGTCGAAAGCACGATTCAAAAGCATTGCTCTCGGCATATGGTCGTCTCCAAGTGGCTCGCACAGGTGAAGGCTGTCCCGGTGGCTGCAAATTTGGCTTTCTATTAACGCAATTGCTTGAGACACCTTCCCAACATCAACGCAGAACCGGGTTTGTATTGTAAAATAGTTTCTAGCAAGGACAACAACTCAGTGGGAGGTGGGGTGTCCTCCAGACAATACTCAAGAACACGTGAAGCATGACTAGCAAAAGTGCCCCACCACAAATCATTTTGGGGGGAACCATGGGTCAAATGGTTCAGTTTTGATAGGAGCCTCTGCCAGAAGGAAAGAGTACCAGCTCTCCAAACATGACTAAACGAATTCCCCACAAGTGGTTTCTCTTTTATTTCAACCCACCACCCACGTCCTACGCATACATCTTGCTCGCGAGCCACGCAATGGGATTGCGAGGTCTGGCTCTCGCCTACTGAGGAGAGGGCGTATGCATCTCAGGAGTTCCAACAGAACTAGGGTTGGCAGGCGAGTTGTGCTTTCTTGTTGCTGCGAGACTTCGCCTTGCGAATTCATGTGGAAAGCTGGAATTTTCTGACTGCCTGG